TCCATTTTCAAAAAGTCCCTTAAAACTCATCTGTTTAGGTCCGCCTATGACCTGTGATGCACCCTCCTTGCCCTACCTCATTTTCTGTTTCGGGTTGATCCTGAAGTGTCAAAGTGTCCTCGTTTTATAGTCATTTTCATTGTTTCTATAAAATAGTAGTTACTATCCTAGTATCTCATTTGTATTTACTTAGTTTACATGTTTTAATAATTGTAAAGCGCTTAGAGCTTTATGATAAGCGCTATATAAAAATGCCTAAATAAATAAATAAATAAATAAATAAATCCAGCCTATGACAGAATCGAATCATCTTCAGACAAAATGAACCCAGCCAAAGAAGAATACACCCAGCAACATACAAAATCCACCCAGAAACAGACAGAATCAAGCCAGAAACAGACGGAATAAACTCAGCTCCATATCAAATCAACCTAGCCACATACAGAATAAACCCAAACAGAATCAACCCAGCAACATGCAGACTCACCAAAGCAACAAACAGAATCAACCAAAGGCAAGACAGAATCAACATAGGCACAGACAGAATAAAAGCAACCCCAGAGACAATCAACCCAATGATAGAAACAATAATCCAAAACAAAATCAACCAAACTGCACACAGAATCTAGCCAGCCAAAGACTGAATCGGCCCAGCCCCTGACAGAATCAACCAAGTCCCATACAGAATGAACACAGCCCCTGACAGAATCAACCAAGTCCCATACAGAATGAACTCAGCCCCAGACAGAATCAACCAAGTCACATACAGAATGAACACAGCCCCTGACAGAATCAACCAAGTCACATACATAATGAACACAGCCCATGACAGAATCAACCAAGTCACATGCAGAATGAACTGAGCCGCAGACAGAATCAAACCGAGACAAAATCAACCCAGAATGAAGCCAGCCACAGACTATATCAACCCTGGCCCAGAAAAGTTCAAGCAGACACAAACAGAATTAACCCAAGATAATAGAAATTAGTGTCCCAATTTACAGTTGATCCAGCTGCTCTATTCAAGGGGTTCCTAAACTTGTGTGTTCCACGGACTCATTGACCAGCCAGAAGACGACCATGGATGGCTCTCTTTACCCACTTACAACTTTCCACAGTTTCAGACTTCCTGTTCTATTTTTTATAATCATGATACAAAATATATTTAAAAATATGTAACATTTTTTTTTAAACGACACCAAATTACTCTCCAAATTTAAGTTAACTTCTAGAATTATGCATATTTTTAAGTTCGATAAAAATGACATTCGTGATTATAGAATTTTGAAGACTTTACTGCGTAAAAGAAACAAAATAAACACTTGACATAATGGAAATAAAGTTTATTTGGCAATGTCTTAAAATGATTAATGATATTTTCTATAGAAGGTAAAAAAAGTTAATAAATTATTGAACAAATTATAAATGACATATGGCTGATGAAAAAATGAACAAATTATAAATGACATATAGGTAGTGAAAAAATTAATAAATTATAAATGAAATATAGTTAATGAAAAAATGAACAAATAATAAATAACATATTGCTAATAGAAAGTTAACAAATTATAATGACATATAGTTAATACAAAAAAGAACAAATTATAAATGACACATAGCTAATAAAAAAGGAACAAATTATGAATGACATATAGCTAATGAAAATGCAGAAACTGAAACAGGTGTATACATATATATTTTAATATATATGTTTTTTATATTTATTATATATTTTACATATATGCTTATCAAATAAAACATGGACATTTAAGCCATTCTTCCCATGTTAGAACAAATTCAATTTGTGTTCCAACAAACCATACTTCATTTCTAGAGTGGTCTAAAAAGCACACCTGTTTATTCCAGCTGTATTTGATCGAAGTATTCTCAACAGCACACCTGTTTATTCTAGTCGTATTTGATCAAGGTGTTCTCAAAGCACACCTGTTTATTCTAGTCGTATTTGATCAAGGTGTTCTCAAAGCACACCTGTTTATTCTAGTCGTATTTGATCAAGGTGATTCAACAGCACACCTGTTTATTCTAGTTGTATTTGATCAAGGTGCTATCAACTCAAAACTACCTCACACTCGTATCCCCTGGTGTCAGTTCTGTTTTAAGTTCTTGTTTACTGCAGTGATGACAATGGAGAAGGTAACCAAATTGAAATTTCAGTTTTTTTAGAATATGCTAACACCAAAACCATTCCAATTGTAAAAAAAAAAAAAAAAAAAAAAAAAAAAAAGTCAAAACTTAACTATATCTCAAAACTTAAGTTATTCTCATCTGTTTCAATCCCAATTTCAATCATCCTCATGTTTAAGTTTTTTTCCCCCCTTCTCCTGACATTGTCCCCAGCACATATAAATGACGATGTCAGCAACCAAGTGGAACAACTCGAACAATCCAAGGACAGACAACCCTATCCATAACCCAATAGATCCGCCGATATCAGAGAGAAGTTGACTCTCCTGTGGAGAAAACAAAACGATCGTAAAATTGAATCATTTTCTCCTTAATATACTTTCTAAGTACAACAATTTTCCCATTCGTAATTAAAGATTTCCCCGTTGTCAGTGTGTTAGTCCTTTATGTTGGGAGGCGTCTGTCACAGAGCTGGTTCTTGTGCTGGGAGGCGTCTGTCAATGTGCTGGTTCTTCTGTGTGGAGGCGTCTGTTAATTTGCTGGCAAATTATGATGAGGGGCGTCTGCCAATGTGCTGGCCTCTTGTGTTGGGAGGCTTCTGTCAATAGGGACATCCTGGCCCATGATTCCAGTCTCAATGATCTGTGAAGTAATTCCCGGCCATAAAAATAAATCTTTTACTGTAGCCAAAATTTTATCACGCCCTAAAAGACATTGATAAAGTTTTAATTTTTTTCTTTCTTCATTATTCTTGAAACCATAATTCGCTCTCGCTTTGAAAAGTAAACCATGGCTGTCACTTTGTTTCTCTTTGATTCTAGCATACATTCTTATTTCTTGAGGAATCTCAGATCTTCTCTCTGGTCTTCCTGTTATGAAAGAACACTTCTTTGCTGGGCTTGTAATTAGGAAGAATTTCATATTTCCTGAATCGTAGAGGCAGCGTCTGAAGCCTGAGTGGTGCAGATGACACTAACTTTTGCTGATCTGCTTCCATTGTGAAAATAGACATAGTAATGAAAGTGTTCAACTCCGAACGGTACGGCAAGCATTTCATTTTCTATTGACGCACATCTTTCTTCATAATCTGTTGAAAACCTAGATGCATAAGCCACTGCTCTCTCACTTTGAATTAATACCGTCTCAGTGCCTTCTTGCGAAGCATCCACGGACACGTAGAGTGGCTTTGAGACAACATAGAAGGCTAACACTGGGGCTGTCGTAATTAAATTCTTAAACTGGTCCACTGCTGAATGGTGTATCACTGGTCTAATATGTGTACCACTGGCCTAACGTGTACCACTGTTCAATTTTGTCAGTGTACTCTTGTTCACGGAGGCAAGACCACTAAATACGTCTTCATAGGATCACAATGTTTCATCTCAAATGACATTCACTCTCTAAATGCGATTGAGTTGCTGGCAACCTGTCAGACACATGTTTGGCTTAGATTGTGTTTTTAAAATTCCAACATCTCTGTTTGTTTTCTTTTCTGTGCCTTTGACCAGAGCCTTATATATTTTGACGGCATTCTAGGTTGTAACATTTTTCAATTCAAATGGAAATTAAACAAAGTTACACTTAGTAAACTAAGGAGTCGTTCGCAAATTGCGTCACATCAAAAATGACCTTTTCAGACTCCCCTCCCCCCTGTCACAAAGTGTCACAATTTCTTTACCCCCCCCCCCTTTTTAGTGTCACGTCACACCTAAAAAATTTCAAAACGTAAAAAAAAAAATTCAAAACGTACAAAAAATTTTCATAACTAAACTAAAATTTAATTTTATTCTTTAACATTTCCCCATACTGGATTAAGATCTAGTGTTATTAGAAAACTTTGAAGTAAAACGCAAAACGACCAAGTCCTCCCCGAGCCCAATGGAAAATAGCCACCGAAGGTGAGCGCAGAAGGTGTGCTTGAAAGAATTTAACGGTATTTATAATACCTGAGGCAAAGTCGATCTCAAATTAATGGTTTTAAATTTAATTGAATAAAGATTTTTCAAAATAAAATTTAGATTTAAAAAAAAAAAAAAGTGTGACATTACACATTTTTGACTCCCCCCATCCCCCACGCCACAAAGTGTCACAAATTCTCGAACCCCCCTCCCCAATGAGCGTGACTTAATTTTCGAAAGACCCCTAATATGTGTTCTGTTTCAAGTTTATTTGCATATTTTTCCAAAATGAATATCTCTAACTGAAGATGCAAATCTCTGAAACTGAACTGTCTGTGAAGAACAGTGTGTTGTGGATTATTATAATACTGTGTTTTTAAGTTTGGATTACTTACATCATAGTCAGCTTGTTCAGACAACTCCTCGTAGTTCAGATCTTCATAGTAAATGTTCAGTTTCATAAAGTCGGCCCTGCAATAAATGACATGCATAAACTAATGTCAATTAAATTTAACAATTATATTTTTGTTTTAGTTTTTATTTTAAAAAGGAAGGAAACTTTTTGCCGAGACGTTTGAATTTTAATTTTGTGTGATCATAATTGAAGCATAACATATACTGTCTAGTGTAACACATGCTTTTGACATGCTATTTATTAGGGTGTTGTGTCAGAAGCATGTGTTACATCTAGTTACATTTCTTTAATGTACAAATAGATAAACATTAATATGATTATAATCACAATTTACATAATCTGGTTTGAAAGTCACTATATTGTACATTACATTACTCACAAATCTACTAATGAAATGTCTGGTTTAAAAGTCACTATATTGTACATTACATTACTCACAAATCTACTAAGGAAATGTCTGGTTTAAAAGTCACTATATTGTACATTACATTACTCACAATCGATTGTCTTTTGTTTTATTTCTCAACTTGTTGCAGACGTCAGCAGATCTTTCTTTACAAATACTTTCAACTAAAATTGACTTAAGGAAATAAAAACAGAATTGTGTTAACCAAAAGCATAAACAGCAAACAGCAAACAGCAAACAGCAAACAGCTGTCGAAACCTGTAGGATATTAACCAGGACGTGGAAGGGTCTTAGATTTTTCTGTTTTTAGCTCAATTTGGATTGTTATTGGAATGTGCATGCAAATATGGCGTTAAATGATTTAAAATTATATCACGCATTCAACATACAAGGAGTAAGACAAGGAGTAAGACAAGGAGTAAGACAAGGAGTAAGACTAGGAGTAAGACAAGGAGTAACACAAGGAGTAAGAGAAGGAGTAAGAGAAGGAGTAAGACAAGGAGTAAGACAAGGAGTAAGACAAGGAGTAAGACAAAGAGTAAGACAAGGAGTAAGATAAGGAGTAAGACGAGTAAGACAAGGAGTAAGACAAGGAGTAAGACAAGGAGTAAGACAAGAGGTAAGACAAAGAGTAAGACAAGAAGTAAGACAAAGAGTAAGACGCCCATTAGAAAACTAAAATAAAGAGAGCATTTCTATTCAACTCACGGCGTAGCTGGTACTCGGCCATTGACGGGCAGCCACTGTTTTCTCATACAACTTTTCGCTTCAGACATAAGGAAGAAGAAACACAATTCAAATGCTATGACATCATTTTTAAAACAGTAAAACTTGCTTTGCAATTTTTTTTTTAAAAAAGGTTATTTATATAGGAGATAGGCATAGTAACAAAAAAATAAATAGAAATCATTTTATGTTGGGAAAAAGTTATCAATAAAAGTTATCATTAAAAGTTATCATTAAAAGTTATCATTAAAAGTTATCATTAAAAGTTATCATTAAAAGTTATCATTAAAAGTTATTATTAAAAGTTATCATTAAAAGTTATCATTAAAAGTTACCATTAAAAGTTATCATTAAAAGTTATCATTAAAAGTTATCATTAAAAGTTATCATCAAAAGTTATCATTAAAAGTTAAATGGTAAATCGTCATAGTATCATAGGGAAATATCCCGCTCTTTGAGTTAGCCAATAAACGTGATACTATCACTGATAGGATAAGCTTTCCACTCACTATGAGTGCTGAGTGGACAAGGGGACTGAACTGAGTCAATGCTAAGTTGACGGGAGTTCAATCCCCAGAAAAAGCCTAGAAAAAAAAAACAAGAGCAAACACTCCGGGTGGATGGGACTGGTTGACCTTGGGTGGCAACTCCTCCGGGTGGATGGGACTGGTTGACCTTGGGTGGCAACTCCTCAAGAGAAGGTCAACTCTGCCGTCAAACCCGGAGATCGAGTCCCGTAGGTGTTTTGACGTTGATACGTTCAACATTCCGACAACTCCTGCGACCTAGAACGTATGAGTGCAGTGAAACACACACATACACACACACTGCTGGTCATCTACTGCATCCTGGTATATTTCCAGTCATCTGGACTAAGTCTTGCCAGTGGATCAAATAGGCGAGGACGAGAGAGTGAGGCTGACGGACTGAGAAACTCTCCCGCACTTTAAAAAAAAAAGTAGCAAAAGTCAAGGCTACTATTCAAGTCGAAAATTGCCTCGGTCATCTTCGCCTGTGAAGGACAAACAACAACGACAAGAGCAACAACGACAAGAACAACAACAACAACAAGAACAACAACGACAAGAGTAATAACGACATGAAACAACAACGACAATAACAATAACGACAAGAATAACAACGACAAGAACAACAACGACAAGAGCAACAACGACACGAAAAACAACGACAAAAAAAAACAACGACAAAAACAATAACGACAAGAACAAAAACGACAAGAACAACAACGACAAGAGCAACAACGACAAGAACAACAACGACAAGAACAACAACGACAAGAACAACAACGACAAGAACAATAACGACAAGAACAACAACAACAACAAGAACAACGACAAGAACAACAACGACCAGAACAACAACGACAGAACAACAACGACTAGAACAACAACGACTAGAACAACAACGACAAGAACAACAACGACTAGAACAACAAGGACAAGAACAACAGCAACAAACAGCTTCAATGAATTTCCCTAGTTACATACCTGCACGGACTGTCGCAGCCACAAGACGAGTCCGTGGCGTCAAAGTTGTACTGGACTTCATAGACGCAGGTCAGTTCTGTTGAAGGCAATTTTTGGCGTAACTATAGCTGAACAAAG